ATAAAATATTTTTTTCTTTTTAAAATATTATATTCTGAAAACTAAAAAAGGTGAACCAAATATTTACTTTAAAAAGTAAAAAATAAAATAAGTTCTTTAAAATTCAGTGAAAAAAAATATATTTTTCTCTTTGAGACAATAACATGTAAAAATAAAAAGAAACTAAATTAAAAAAAGAAATACATAATAAAAGGAAAGAATAAGTGTCTAAAAAATAAATGAAATTAAAAAAAAAAATATTTTACTTTTTAAGAGAAAAAAATGAAAACAAGAAAACAATGTTTCTAAAAATTAAACAAATTATATTTTTAAAACAATAAACTCTAAATAGTAAAAGAAAATTAGATTGAAAATATGATATATGCTTTCTATCAAAATAGCTATTTACCGTAAGCTAGCCAGTTAAAGATTTTTAAAAGCAGTAGCCGAAAGGCTGCATTTGTTTCAAAGTAATTTATTTCCAAACAACCTATTCATTTGGATAATCTTTGAGATTGACCGCTCTATTCCAACAGGGTGTGTATACATTAACTGGCAAGTAAATTTACTTAGGTGGGATTGTGCGTATGCGTAAATGTAACTGTACACAAAATACAATTAACCAAATGCATTTATAAGTATGTATGTAGATACGAGTAGGCAGTTGCTACAAAATTTCAGATGCGTAAAGTATGCTAAAGGCCATCGACAAAACGTTTTATGTGTATATACATATAAGTACATATGTAGTTATGAAAGTGGTCGATTCCTGGACAAACAAGCATACATATGTACATACATAAAGGCCAGCTCTGCTACGAATTAAACAGCCAGTAGAGTACTTCATTGCAAATGGTTGTAGGTAAGCAAAAATTTTAAAAGTGTTTCAGGCGACACAAAACGACTGTATATACGTACTTGCACCTACGCACAATATTAAGTACATATATGTATAACGCCAGCTACGTTATGCTATTTGTGAAATGTGCAAATTGGCGCACCATACTTAAATGAATTTAAACGCAAGCATGCATACATACATACACATAAACAAATATTTAAGTATGTAGGCCCATGTAAGTGCAAATAAGTATGTATGCCTTGCTGTTGCACAAGTCCATAGCAATCGCATGTCCTACACTGTCAGTGCAGTTAAGGTCCTTAGTCTGCTAACGTAATCTTCTGTGTCCTGTTGTATGCTGCCTGTTTTACTTTTCTGCAACCACATCGGCAGCGGCACTATGCCGCTTGAGTGTCCCTTAACTTCCCACTGTGCACTGCACAATTCTTCGTGCTGGCCATTTATCATGATCTACTTATGTTTGTACACTCGTAAATATACAAATATTTATGAATGTCTGTATGTATGTATGTATGGATGTATGCATGTTTATATTACGACGACCAAAGCACTTATTCCGCTATCGGGGGCGCCCAATTTCCCTGTTCCCTGCCGCCTTAACTGCTACTTACAAGTGCTATCTTCTTCTTCTTCGATAGCTTGTGTTGACTGTTACCACCTGGTTGGTGGTTTTGCTTACTTACCTTCATTATACGGCACCACATCAGGATTCTTCTCGTCGTACATCTCCTCCGAATGACTTAATGGCAATGAGATTTTATCCTTAATTTGTAAATTGCCAGGTCGTGAGAATTTCGCATTTTGATGTTGATATTTTTGTTGTTGTTTGTGTGTACGTAACTTCAATGCGGCAATTGTTCCGATGGCAATGCAAACCAAAGCAACCAATATGCCAACGAAGATGCCGACCGAGAGTATGGGTGTGAGTTCGAAGCTCGATTGGGTACCCTTGTAGGATGTCAGTGCGACTGAAAAGATGATGAGAATAAGAAGCGATGAAAAGTGAAACATGATAAAAAGATACTCTGTAATTAAATTGTAAATGTAGACACATTGATATAAATATATGTAGTATGTATGGAGATAGACGTTTTGGTTATGAAGGCATACTTTTTTCACTTTAAACGCAGCTGACGTTGTAAGTGTTGTAAGAACTTAAACAAGTAAGAAAAAAAAATGTAACTTTCCATAACTTCTTCTTACATTTTTAATCACTTGCTTGCGAGCAAACAGCGTAGCCATTTAAATGGCAGAGATGACGTTGAAGCTTGCTTAAAGTGGTGGAAAGGGGCGACGGTAGAGTGGTAGAAATGGAAACATTTAGTAACCTTAACGAATCTCATAAAAAGCCAGCTAAATAAACTGGTGCACTGGTGCAACATTCGAGGCTTGGGAGTAAGTTGCACTCGAAATCTGAACCGTTATTATATACTAGGAAACGCAGCTGCCCATCGCCCGGAAATACCGCCTTACATGTTACCACAGTGCACCAATCAGGCTAAATATCTAGGTTTAGTTCTGAATAGGAATGGTGTTCGCAAAGCCATAAGCCCAAGATCTTAAGATTTGGTTACACCGTGGTGGTAAGAACGATTATTTTCTACGATGTAGTAGTTTTCTGGGATGCACTCAATAAAAAGGTAAGCGCTAAGAAAATAAATAATGTCAACGGCTGGCTTCTCTACTGATAACAGGAGCCATGAAGACCAAACACAGCCACCAAAGCGCCCAATGCGCTACTTTCTGAAAGAAAGGTGGCATTTAACACTGCCATTTAGCTCAACTTAACCAAGAAATGGTCGCATCCACATATCGGTCATTGTAAAATCTGGAGTGACATTACTGCGTTTCCGACAACAGACAACATCCGGAATCAAGTTCATGACCCGTCTTTCCTCAAGGGAGGAATGGTCAGTAGATACAGTCGTGGTAAGAGGATTAATCGGAAAAATTAGAAATCGGAATCGGAAATAATATCATTCAGCTTCCGCAGGGTTGACTCCTGGCCAATGGACTGATGGCCATTTCAAAGTTCGAAACATTGGTAAAGTGCAACACGATACCCAGTTAAGATATTTAAATTTTCTCTGGCAGACGACTATTAAGTCCCTGGGAAAAATACGCTGACCTTTCTTAACGATTCTTCATCATTGCGACATTTAGGGTCGACGAACTCGCACGTCATGGAACTGCATTGCCTGATACAGATACAAGGGATTATTTTGCCATCTTCTTCAAAGAAGTAAGTTTCTACTGAATGAGAAATTCATAGAAATATCAATCAAAGACGCTCAATGTACTAAGAGCTCATCTAGCCACCAACGTAAAATCGTAGACCGTGTCAACAAGACGGTGATGTTGTCGTCGCTTCTCTCTCTATCACTCTCTCTATCAGCAGCAAGTTGACATATTTATATGGACAGCAAGTACGGAAGGGCACTCCGTCGTTGGCGGGTCGAAACAAAAGGTAAATATATACTTAATCTAAGGAGCCAGAACATTGGTTAGAAACCCCATGCGGTATCACAAAGTAACCATAAAGTAAGAAGCAAGTGGACGTCCCCAAAATTAGCTCTCAGCCAGAGCTAACCTGTGGTTCATTATTGATAAGTCTTGGCTTTTTAAGGATGAGCTGAGGTGCGGTTTAATGGAACACTACCTCTAAAGGTTAGATAGAATGAAAAATTACCTTGACCTCAAAACTTTAAAATTATTTTTTTTTTACCTAAATACTGATTGTAATAAAATTAAAAAAAGTAAATGCGTTCGAACCGAAACGACCACCGAAATGTGTTCTTTGATGAAAGAATAGCAAAGATATGTGTTGAAAACTTTTAAAAATTTCATAACACACTGGTTTCATGTCAAAAAATACCTTCCCTTTTTGAATGTCAATTTCAAAGGTCAATTTAATTCTTTTGTATTCTAAGAGATCTCAGCACTTGTGTCTCTCAATGTCACAATAGCGCAATATAAGAGATTCTTATAATGTTTAGTTCCTGAGAGTGAATGTTGGCATAATACCAACAACGAAGTTGATGGGGATAAGCTTACACTTTTCCCTTGGGGTAGTATGCTTCGGTCTTCCAGGCTAAGTATTTGCAATGCCAAATGCCATGGACTACGTGGTAGAGAATAGGTGGATGGGGAAGGTATTTACGTTCTCGTACCAGCAATAGGCAATGGCCAGCCTCTATCAACTTGTTCGACTTGTGATTATGTTGGCAAACATAACGAAGCTTACTTCGCTCTGGGTGCCCGTTACTTGGGAGTATCTGGTGATGAGACACTAAACAACTGGCCAGAGTTGGTTCAGATCACGATCAGATCAGATTCTTCGGTCCGCCAACAGTTATGGCACTACCACCTTCGGTCATCGAAACCACCATCAGAAACTGGGTGAATACTTTGTTCAGAAATGACCAGGAGGCATCGAGGGACGACTGCAGGTGGGCAAAACTCATGTTGCCTTAAATCTCAGAAGGTATATCTAGTTTTTTGCTCTCACTGAGCAGACGGGACTGCAGACAACTTTTTGGACTGCTGACTGGTCACTTCATATGGTACAAATACCAGACCAACTCCATTTGCCCATACTGCCTTGAAGAGGATAAGATTGTGGAATACTTTTTGTGGTTCTGCCCCGCTTTTGCAGTTCATTGACTAAAAATTGGCCAGAGGCCGAATATGGGTTAATTTCGCAAAGGTATGCTGAACCGTTTTCTTTTGTTATCGTAAGTCAAGTCGAACTCCATATTCTGAAATTTTCAGTGAATATCAAACTGAAATAGTAGTTCCTTTTTTATGAATATTTCTTAAAATTTCATCAATATTTAAAAATTCGATCCGTTGTAAATATTTAGTATTTTTTAATGCATTAAACAGGTTGCTGCTGGTTTTATTTAGCACCTTCCACTGATTTCGCGAAATCTCAAATATTTTCGTTTTTATAATATTTTTAGAAGCAGCCATTAATTTGCGACCTTCAATGGCATTTTTCTGCTTATTAAACTCTTTCTTGCGCATATAATAAATTCATCTACTTTCTAAGAATCTTATATCAATTTATGTGTGTAGCAAAAAAAAACTGGTTTTTAATAGATATATTAATTTCTTCTACCTTTTTTACGCTCAATCTTTCAACAAAAATTGCGCGCTCGCGGTGTTTTAAAGAATAAATGCTGCAAACACCATAACACTTTTCAATTTACCAAGTTGATATAAATCTTCTTAGCTTGTCTTTGTTGTATAGCTGCTGTGCTGTGCTGTCACCCACCGTTCGCCGTCCACGACACTGCTACTTTTGCCGTAGCTAATTAGTATTACAATTTTCATTACTCTGTGCGCTCTTTCTTCAAAATTTTTCTTCACTTTATTTAGCTTGCTTGTTTAGTTTTCCTGCTTTTTTTTTTTGATTTTGCTTACATTACGGGCTGCCCTTATATTCATTAAAGCTAATCATTTTAAATTTTCCGCTTCCTCTGGGCATTTGAAGGCGCACCGTGCACCGTCTTGCAATGCAACTCGAACTCTTTCGCAGTCTGCTTTATTTTGACATCTTCTTATTAGTATCTATTTACATACATAGTCGTACATAAGAAGATTTTAATATTTTTTTTATTATTATTTTTAGTTGCCCCTTCAACTACTCAGGTCTCAGAAAAATCCAATTTTCTGCTTTAAATTATACACCAATGCATTTAAGCGCCCACTCAGCCGCCCGACCGCCCCCCAAAAGGTTTGACGTTGCCTCGTCTGCTTGCTGTTGTGGTCTGCATGTTTACTATCTTTTTGGACGATTTCTTCTGCATAATTTAAGGCAAAGTGCTACTTGCGAAAAAAGGTAAATAAGCTCATGCATAAATTGAAATGAGTTTTACTTCCAATTTTCCTACCTAATTTTTGCCCAGGTTTTTGCTTTTTTTTTGGTATTTTTTCAACATTTTTTTTTTGGTTGTCATAAATATCGCTCATAAGCTGTCTGAGCGATGCAGTCTAGCATTTAAATGCTACCTTTTCTGAAGGACGTAAACAACAACATACAAAATGAGAAACGTAAAAAGAAAAATCAGCAAGAAAAAGCGAAAATTTATTTCAGGAAAGGATTTGCAAAATTTTTTCTTAATTCCCATTTTACATTAGTCCAACCCTTTTTCAATTTGCTAAGCGTCTATTATAATGCCAAGAAAATTATCTTATACTACTAATTTCAATTACGTGACAAAAATTGGTTTACATTACATAATAAAATGTATGCATAAATAGACATGGGTGGCTGGTGGCGAGAAAAGTTGCGGAGAATATGTACATATGTTAAAATGTAGGCAATATTTAAATTTATACGGAACACAGAAATCTCCTACAGTTACCTATTTCATATATTGAAATTTAAAATGTTGCAAAAGTGAACAAATACTTTTGATATTTTGCTCATTTAATTTCATTACCACTTTATTTAGCTTTAACCCAAGAATCACAAGATGCTTTCGTAGTCCGTTAATCATAAAATATATGAATTTTACGTAATTTGCCGTTGACGTATATTTTATATACATATGTACATATGTATGGGTATTTCCTGGAAAGTGTCAGCCAAGAGCAAAAAAAAAATAAAAAAGTTTTGCCTGGACAAAGTTTATAGATGTCAGTCGATAACTATATGTTTGGTTTTTCATCCACCAAAATATTGGTCCATCGCATTTCAAGATATTTGCGTTTTTCCAACTACACTTTCAATTTGTTTTTTTTTTTTTGGAGAAATCATACCTTCCAGAAAGTCTTCATAATTTTGGTACACGATTAAAAAGAATTGGAACTCTTAACAGAAATTTAGTATAGCTCATGTTCCGCAAATCTTACAACAAAAACAAAGTAAAAGTTTATTAGGAGTCGTCTAGACGTCAAGCATTCGGACGCAAAATATAACTTACCTTTAAAAAAGTCGTTACGTTCACTTTATTTGCAAAATTTTAGTACAAAAGCTAGTTTTGGTTACTCTTGCCAGTCGGATAAAATTTTTTTCAGAAAGGTATAGGATTACCGATTGTAATTAAATTGAAAATCGGAACGTCCGAACGCTTCAAATAATTTTGGGTCATATTGTTTCTATGTAGGTGAATAAATGTATTACATACTTCTGCTAGTACGACGACATGACTTCAACGAACGTTAGAAGCACGGCTGAGAGAGCAATGAAGTGGAGACGCAATTTGAAGAAAGATGAAGAAAAGTGGCGGAATATAGAAAAGAGAGATCGAAAAAAAAACATATACAACAAAAATTAAAAATGATTATATCATGGCAAAAAGCACCAAGATGCGACAAGCTTGCTCTAAAAAAGATTAATCGAAAACAAAAGACAGGTATTTCTTCCAATTTTGGCAAGTATAAAAAGAGACAATAAAGCCATGAAAAAAGTTGAAAAAGCATTAAGCAAAAATTATTAGACAAATATGATAGGTAAAAATGAGGAGGCGAAATGCAAAAATGAGGACCCTAAATATATAATAAATAAATATAAATGTAAAGCAGCAGTAAGAAAAGAAACATGTGTTAAGTAAGCAATAATTGCCTATACCAAAGCGCTATATTGTTTTTGAGCGTAAACGAAGCATGTCGGCTTTTTAAAAGGAATTCAAGGATTTTGTCATTAGCAAAGCAAAATTTTATGCGAGCAGACCAAGAGCAATGGAAATAAGGTCAATTGACATTATTACCTTTTCGTTTTTGGAAAAGAAATAATGTCAATTCACTTAGTTACCAATCACCAGTTATAGGTCTATTCTGCACGTTACCGGCGATTTTTTAACCGGAAATTTTTATTATCGTAAAATTTTACCACTTCTTGTTACCGCAATTCTAGGTGCGTTGGTAATGCAGTTAAAATATTCAGCAATTCAGCTATGAAATTTGTGGAAGTTCTGGCATTGCATATTTCACGGGCAATATCTTTTTACCAGCTTATGAGAAGGTAACAAAATTTACCGGTTACAAGAGTACACAGAATGCGAAAAGGGTTTAAAAATTGACAGGAACTTTATTTACCGGTTACAAACTTTTTATTACCAGCGCAGAATAGACCTGTTAGTGTTAACTGACCTTATTTCTGTTGATCTTGTTACCTGTCACCTGCTAGCTATTCAGGCCTTAAGTGCTTTGGAACGCCCGAACAGCTTTGCACAGTTTTTGACAGCTATTAAACATCGTTGGCAAGTTTAAGTTGACGCAATTGTTATGACTGCTTATTTTTCTAAGAACCATTCATACATCATTTTTTTTTGTAGTATGGGTACCATAAATTGCATCGAGTCTACTATAGTTTCATGATGAAAAAAGTGTCTGCAAACGGAACGTCTGTAATGCAGGAAACACTCATATGTGTATGTACTTAAATGTATGATTGTAACAAATTGAGTTTATTTATGTATTGAAGAAGTTATATACTATTCTCTTTAAAATCCACACATATTTTATTTTGTAATTCACCAGCTCAGGGGCGCTTCTTTACATATGAATCAGTATGTATGTATGTAGTTTCTGGGATAGAACGTTTCAAATAGGCTTCCGAGCTAGGTCTATCTTCCACTTAGCCATCGATATGAGCACGAATTGTTAGTTTTACTTTTTTTGGTATATCCTTTTTAAGTTTTCATACAAATACAATTCCCACATTTGAGGCTAATGACACCTCCACCTACCCTTCCATTCAACTGTCATTCATCCGTAAAAAAATTCAGTAGGTCTTAATTCCAAATATTGCTTTCCATCCAATATTCGCTTGAAGGATAGTTAATGGTAAGCTGTTTATACCAACGCCTCATAGTTTAACCGCTGTGCAGGCAGCCAAAGCTTTTTCTGCAATACCGACGGCACAACGTTTGGCATTGCATTAAACCCGATAGTAGGGGGTCTCAAAGTGTCCCACTTATTTCAATTAGGGCGGCGTTTTTTTTTTACTGCTTCACCGTGGTGAACTCAGTAATGTAACTTGAGGCTAAATTCCGTTGCGAAGTGGAGTGGGCTTGAACTTGAGTCCCACCTTATTGTAATGTTAAGTTAAAGAACTGGCCAAGTGCCTATTTTTCAGTACAAGTTTTGAAATCGTTCGGTCAGGTCTGCACTGGTGTTAAACGAAAACATAGGAAATAATAGAAAAACTCAAGACTTATGAAGCAACTAACCTAATACCCAAATAAAAGAACACCAGCGGAAAGGAAAAACTCGGTCGTCGGTTGACTACCCAAATAATAACTCTCTTTTCAAAAAACCTGACAATTTATGACAGTTTCTTTAAATTTATCTCTAATTTTCTATAGTTATAAATTGCGTTTAAGGGTACGGCTCTCAGGATTCATCTCAAGCTTCTTAAAAAGTAAGAAAAGTTCGAACTAAAGCTTGTTAATCGTTCTCCTCCTTTTCGCGTTATATTATTCATTCTTCTTGTCTCAATAGAAGACTTTGTTGTTACAATGTAAATATAAATATCTGAATCCGGATCCTCCGCTCTTCTTCAATTGTTCAGTATAAACTATTTAGCAGTTGTACAAACCAATTTATTTTATCAGTCGCTTTATTTCGACCAATTTCATGATCTCACTCATTTTTTTTTAACACTTAAATGTGTCAAGCATACTATATCTAATACTAATCCACATTCACATAACTCACCTGTTTGCTTTTCGGCCGCTTTCAGCGTGTAACCTTCCACCTGCACCGCTTCACTGCGTCCGCGCAAATTCACTGCATAAACAAATATACGAAAGAGGCGACCCGAATCTAGGCCGGTTACACTCAATACTGGATATTTTGAGGAGATATTTGCTTGCAGCTGGCCAGTGTGTTGATCGAATATTTCCATGAGAAACCATTGACGTAAGCCACCATCGAAACCTGAAAATAATACAGAAGAGTTTTTTTTTTGGTGAAATTTAAAGCTGTTTTCTGGTATGCTCTAATTAAATATACATACTTATATGTAAATGGTTTACATACATACTTTAGTTTTCGTAATTTGGGAGTTTAAGTATTTCCAAATCCCAGCGAAAACAATAATATTGAGCCCTAACCGCCAAAAAGTTGTAAGCGACACTTTTTTCAAAATTTAATTTTTGATTAAGAAGTGCATCTAGATACTCTGGAAACATTTCTGCATCAAAAAGAAAATTAAAAAAAAATTTCGCTTACGTGTTTTTGGTAGTTAGGTCTCGTGTTGTTGCCCCACAAATTTTAGACATCTTTATGTTATGTGTATGTATGTATGTTATATACATATTAGCCATTTTGCTTGCACAAATATTCAATTTCAAAATTGTGCCCAATAGCAGCCGCAAAGTAACTGCACCAGTACATATTTGCTTTGTTGAATTACATTGCCTTGTGTTCAGATTTTCCGATAAGTATAAGGATATTTTATGAAAATCTGATATCACTTCAAATATGTAAATCAAAAGCAAATGAATACGGGTGCAAAAATTCGTTGCATAAAATTGTAATTTAAATTAAAAATACTTTGAAAATTTCGATATTGATTGTACATATAACCACTGGCTAAGGATGACAGTGCGTATGAGTAACAATATAAGAAAAGACTCTGATTTGTGCTATCAGAGAGCACTCATTGAGTGCATACCGCAGCATATTCGGCTCAATCGAAAAAGTAGGTGGACAAAAATTGCCAAACCGGTCTCAATACTGCAAGCAAGTATTCTGGAAAGTCGAATAAAAATATCCCTCCACTATAACAACAGAACAGTATATTCTAAGCATCGTCCATTTACTTAACCACGGAGTCTTCTTCATCAAGCACGCCACTTGCGTTGCCCTTCATAAGCAAGCAGTGAGAAGTGTTCTCTCCATATCTCTAGTGTACTCTGGAGACTGTAGGAACCAGACGTAGTTTTGAAATCTTTTGATTGAAGCGATTGAAGCCATATTTTTAAATGAAATTTTTTCCTCTCAACAACAACAACAAACTTTTCTCAATCACGTATTTTTAAATTTCCTTCTTCCTGAAAAGGCATCCCTCCTCTTCTTCTGAGATGCTTGTTTTAGCTGAATTTCGCGTCGATCTATCCATGTCGATTTTTTAAAAAGCTCTGATTTTTTATTTATTTATGTTCAAAAATGAAGGAAAAAAAAATTTACGTTTGCATGCTTCCAATCATGGTACAATAAACACAGGTAGAAGCCAAATTGACATCAAACCTA